TGTGTGTGTGTGTGTGTGTGTGTGTGTGTGTGTGTGTGTGTGTGTGTGTGTGTGTGTGTGTGTGTGTGTGTGTGTGTGCTGTGACAATGATGTGGGGAGAGGTAAAGCCATTGTGTACTCAGAGGGGGGCTGATGGAAAGATTTTGTAAGATGGAGGGCTGACATGAAGGGAACCAGTAACCAGAAAATGGTCAAAACAGACAACTGAATTAATGTATCGGTCTGTGTGTGTGCCCACGTGTGGCAGACACCCATAAGTGTAAAAATCATAATAACGAGTTTAATACTTGTGGATGGTCCATTTGAGATGTCTTCTGCTTCTACGGCATCTGAAGAGCCAAAGACAACATAGATTGACAGACGGCCTTTTCTTTAGCCTTGAAACGAGCTGCCTTACAAGTATTGTAAAAGGAATGGGCTTCCTCTAGCACCTTAATCAAGGGAAAATATTAAAATGGTTTAAATGATTTAGCAGCAGAACCTCTTTTCAGCCTCCTCCTTGCAAGTTTGATCTGATCTTGAAGGATCTGAACCCAGTCTCGTGGCCCAGGCAACTTCTCTATTTTGTGTTCAGTGCAGTATTTCTCTGTAAAAACTGGACACACACCATAGTTACATTAACGTTTGTTCAGAAATGTAGTTACACTTTAGTTTGTCTTTCTCTGCCTTACCTTTAATGGCACCCACAATGTTCTGGTCCAAGCCCTTACGGTTATCATTTAGCCCTCTCTTCCTTTTGCCATTTGGCAAGGAGTTAGCCAGCGTGGCGTCATCAAAGAAGGCACACACCTAAACACACAGCAGAGCTCTTGACCAAGCAGCATTTTTGTTCTTTGTTCACATTTCACACGATTATAATATAATCAGAACGACAGAGAAAACGCTTTTAAAAATCATAGACGTGCACCAGTTTCCGGAACAGCAGGCTGCCTGAGCGTGTATAGTTGACCAGAATGGAGTCTAGCTGGGCCTTAGAAATAAACACGTCATAATCCTCTGCAAGACGCACCTCAGACTGTGAAGGAGTCAAGCAACACAGAGTGTTAATTGTAAAGCATTAAATAAATGTCACCAGTTGAAATATGAGTTTTTAGAAAGAAAAAGCGAGAAGACGTTATCTTCATTTCTAGCATTAGCTCAAATCATAGATGTGCTGTAAAATAAACCGCAAGGATGTTTGCACAAAGGTTTATGTCTCATTAGGCAAAAAACAAGGAAAAATCAAGGTACTTAAACTTCTTTTTAGATATGGAGCTTCACAAAAGAAGCAACGTTTAGGCTGCAAATTATTTTTACATGCAAATACACATACACGTTCAAATTCATAAGACAGGTGCAGTGCACCTGAATCAAATTGAGCGTGCAAATGAGGCTTGGTAAGCACACGTTGCTGCATACGTACATCCACACTAACGTGAAGATTACCTCTAATGCTTGTGATTCCCGTAGTTGGTTCAGGAGAGGAGATGTGTTGTTGACCGTCACTGGGTTGGTCTGAGGTGGTGGCACAGGAATGTCAGAGGAGATGGGATGATTGTTGGTTGTAGATGAGTCTTGTTTCTCACATTCTCGCTTCTTTACAGATTCCACAGGTGCAGCTTTTAGCAGTGATGCATCCAGAGGAGCAAGACCAGCTCTTCTGGTGCTAAACACAGATAGCGGAGCCATCCTATAGATTGGCCTCCTCTTTCGAGGCCTGTGGCGAGGACTGGGTCCTGCACCTAGGCGAGGTTGAGACGGCGATGCCGCCCTTTCCTGCTTTTCTAAAGATGCTATTAAAAGGCAGAAAAACATTATATTGTGTTTATCTCTTTATTTTAGAGTGTGTATTTGTGTTCATTTACTAACCTTTTTGATTCTGCATCAACCTCCTCATGCCACGTAGTTCCTGCAGAATAGCCTGCAAGGTGCCCTTACAGTTACACATACAGCAGGGGGTTTCTGGCATAGTAGGAGGAACTACATCTGCTGGGAAATGAGGGATGCATTTGTTAGCGCTTGTTCACTCTAACATATGCACACAAGTGCAAACATGCTTTAATGTAACAACAAAGGTGTAAGCCATTGCTGGTGTTCATCACTCAATATTTAATGAAATTCACTATTCTTCAAATAACTTAAAATTTGTTTAGTAGTTTTCTCCTTTCAAACATGCACCGATATCCTACCATTAGTTTCATTCACTTTGATTAAACCCTTTGTGCTGTTGAGAATCCTGAGGGCTCTGGAGCGTGTGCTGTACTGGCTGCAGCCTGGGCTGTTTGGGACTGGGATGGATATGGATGAAGGTGAAGGCCCTGGATCCTCTGCAGAGTTCCAGCTGTTGCTCTGGTGGTCCTCTGACACCAGAGATAAAAGTTCAGGCTGATTTATCCAGTTCAGAGGCTTTTCCTGGGGCTCCTTTGTTAAGCTATCCTGCTCTGTACCAGCACGCTGGTATACTCTGCTGGTCTTATCGCTCAGAAGCCTCATCATTCCTGTGATTTGCCTTTTGATCTCCATGCCCTCATCCTCCAGCCAAGCTACATTAAGAGAGAATGGTGCTCATGTAATTACTGATATTTTGTATGACATATAATCAAAATTCATTCTCTGAATGGCACATACCATCAGGCATAGCACCATCCTTTGGCTCCCCATTGGCATCTTTGGAGCTGGAGTTAATCACATATGAAGGCTCTAAATCTGCAAAGAAAAAAAACTGAATAGTTTCGTTATGAAGCACAGCTGTAAAGAAACGCAACAAAACCTTGGTGACAGATGTCACAGGATGATATTGCGGCCTTTTGCCTTGTAAGGTTGAAGCTTGTGCGGGCTAATGAGCTGTGATGCCTACCAAAGCAGAACCCTCCACCTCACCCCCACCCCATCCCATGCAAAAACCACCACCTGTAGGTGATATGAAGTAGTGTAGTCAAGAGAGGTGGTGTGTTCCTTACAGCTTAAGCAAAAAGTGCACAGTTGAAGCTCCTTGTTACGAGCTCAGAGTGCGCAACATATTTTCACATTTTATTCAATTTGCTTACTTAATTCAGTCTTAAAAATCTAACCGGAATGAGCCGCGTTAAGACTGATGTCTAGGATGTTTCTTTTATTTTCTTTTACATGCAAGATGTGAATCCCTATAGTTAGCTGCTGGTTAAAACCGAGGCACAGACTGGGCATTGTCGTGGCTATCGCTTTTGTTTACAGAGTCGTCTCTGCTGGCGCACAGCGCCAGACAAACACCCAGACACAGACGCGCGTCTTGCAAGGTCTTGCATTCATTCAGCAGCTTACCTCCATCCGTGACCAGTTTAAAGCTCTGCGACTTCCTTCTCCTCTTCCTTTCTCCAAACTCCATCTTCAGGTGGAATATCCAGTAAGTCGTGCAGTGGAAAAAATATTCGCTCTTCGGGAGGACGAAATCACTGACTAGGTTACACTCAGCGGAATCACTGTCCGTCTGCCTTATTAATCAGTTAAATTTATTTCCTGCTTGCGCTACAGATTCTCTCATCTCTTCGCAAATATTCGCAGTGTTAAGCTCAAAGTGGCCCGTTCAGTTGTATTCTACAGTCCATTCCCTTTGCCAGCATGATGCAGCTTCTTGGCTTCCGTCATGTAAATAAATTAATGACTTTAATATTAAAAAATCGTCACATATCCCTTTGCGCCACCTGATGGTATGTTCTCAACTGAAAGGTCGAGTCAGACATTTGCTAGTGGTGTCCAAACTGTGGACCGGTATTAACACAAACAGCACTGAAACAGAAAAACAAACTTTAGAGATTTTTTTTTTAAAGGACTTATTTTACAGGCTACTGTAGATGAAAAAAGGAGCCAAAAGCCAAACGTCGTTTGACTGAAAGGAGAAACAACTCAGTTACCAGATGTTTGGTGTTTACTGTGGTCGATATCTTTGTAAATCTATTTTTATTCATTAAAGGGATCATGCTTCCTCCTCCACTCATAACAACTGTATAATTCTAAAGTCATCAGCAGGAAATATAGGAAGTAATATTGAGTCACTTATCACAAGTGAAGGCCATTTAGTCTCTTTCGCTATAATTTCCTTTATCACCAAAATACAAAAGATTTTGGAGGATTTCAAAAAGTTAAGTCAGGATTTTTCATCTTCCCTTCTTGGAGTGTAGCGCATTATTGTCAGATACGTAAAACAAACAAGTGTCGACCCATTTTCTAAATTTCCCTGTTTGGATTGAACCTGTTTCGGTCCATTTTGATGCTTGACACAATGGGATCATAGTGCTGAGTTTAGAGGTTTGCAGGCTTGGAGCAATGCACTGGGCCCCGTCATTGTCCTCACAGCAGAACATGGTGTTCATAGTTGTGGTTTAATTGTTGGGTTATCCCAATATTTGGCTAAATACTGTGCATGCATATCCAGAAAAGAATACATAAAGGAGTATCTCTTTTTTACTGTCTATTTGACCTTATTATTTTGGTGTCCTCTTAAATTCACTGAAAAACAGATTCATTTGACACAGATTACATTGTGTTCTAATGCTTTTATTTTGAAACAACTATTTTGAAAATTCTAAAAAGCTTCATGTTATCTTCCGGTTTAGGCAAGCGCGTTTCAGACTAACGCAGACTAACCTTAATGTGCTGTCTTTTTTTGTTAAAATAAACCTTTCAGATGGATATACTTAAAGCTGAGATCGAAAGAAAGAGGAAACTCATTGAAGAAAAGAATCTTGTTGACGTAAGTATCCGACGAAGTTGCTTGTTATTGTTAGCTACGTTGCTAACACGTCGTTTAACCAGGCTAGTTAAGTATTTTTAGAATGATCGTTTTTCATCCATATCGATAGCTTTATCTATAAAGTACTGAACTCCATCTGCAGTAGAATATAAAGCTAACTTTAGGATTAAGCTAAACGCAGAGCTGTAGTTTACGAATTGTAATTGCTGCTACGTAACAGAACATTAACTTTATAGTATCACGATTTAAGCAGAAATTCTGGTATTTATACCGTTTAAACTTATCCTAACATTTTTTTTTTTTTAATGCAAACATAAGTACCTGCTTCTTTTTCTTTCCAGGACTCAAAAAAATTCTTTAAAAGAGCTGAGCTCTCACAGAAGGAAAGAGATGATTACTTCAGAAGATGCGGATACAAGGTTCATGTCAACATCACTCTGCTTCTCACTCTCTCGATTTTCCTGAGACACTCAGACTTATTTAATTCACTGTCTGGCTTGGTTAGTGTGACACAAAAATAACGAGTAAACCTTCTGCCAGCAAAAAGATAAGGACAGGTGTTGATACTCAGGTGTACAACAGTGTCTGTATTTGTGTTTACTGTGGTGTTTTCCCCCAATTTGCCTCTGCTGCCTGCATCTGTAGGTTCAGAGAGAGACTCCTGAGAGCCAGGTATGGCATTGCACAGTGAAAGTAGCCAACAGGATGCATGATAAAAGGATAAAACACACTGTGTCCTAAACGCTCATGCTTCCTAGGCATCCTTTCTGGAAGTTCTTACTGAAATCTGTTGGGATGAAAACCTAAAAGACATAGCGGAGGGCACATTTTCTGGTTGTTACAAATAACCACACGAGCACTGGATATTTTGGTACAGGATGCCTGGACTCACCTAGTAGTAACTTAGTGTATAATAATTGGATATCAGCTTTACACAAATGGAAATATTCACCAGCTCACTTCTGCTGGATAGATTTAGACTTTTCAAGGTGATTTTAAAATTTTATCAATAAGATGAAAGCATTTTAAAGCTTGATTTAAACTCACCTGCATTCTGTGGATGCTAAACTGTGTCATTTCCAAATTATCAACATAGTTTAAATGTCATATAAATGAAATATTTATATGTGCCACAGTCATTATCACAGCTTTGCCTTATGCCAGGCTAGTTATGTATTACAGCCACTTGTCAGAAAGCAAAGGAACACGGAAAGGAAGCTTCAAAGCAAAAGTGGGACACTGCCACGGTGTTGATTTCAGCATGGGATAATGTACTGAAATGAAAAAGTGTTTTTGTTATCAAGCTCTGCTTCTTATTTTTGCAGTTAATTTGTGACATAAGCTTTTAATATTTAAGCAAATTATGGTGTGCAACATGTTTACCGTGACATTTTAACAGCTGCTCAGTGGCAGATTGTATTTATGTTATACTTTGTGCAAAGCTTAAAAACCTGGCTCATTAAGCCATTCTCTTTGTACACGGGCAGCGTACTATGTTTTAAAGCGAAAGAGCTGTTGTTTGCTGAGAAGGCTTTTTGTCACCATTTGCTGGTTCTTTTAGATTGTGGTTTAAAAAGCACAATCTAAGAGTGCTGGCATGCATGTGCCTTTTTAAAGCATGATTTGGGTATATTTTGAGTTTCGTTGTGCAAAGAATACAGAGTATCTTTTTCCTGTGTTTAGGCCTGATGGGTGATTTAGACTTCTGTGGGAAATCTACCTTGTTACTTACGTTGTAACCAAAAACACTTTTTAACCCTATGCTGTAACCTTGCATGTAATCTGATGTAACTACACAGCCCACAACGGCTAGGGTTAACAAAGGTTTTCGGTTGAGTTGTAAGTTAGGATTTAGATTTCCCGCAGAAGCCTAAATCACACATAAGATGTTACAGCCGCTAAAGTTATCATGTTGGTGTAGTGTTTGTTATATGCTTTCTTTTTTGGTAACTTATTGTGTTACTTGTCTTTCTTGAAGAGTTGCAGGTAAGGGAGTGGTGTGAATGTTTGCAGTTCTGTTTATTTTGTTGATGCCTTTTTGTCTCTTTGGTCATGAGGTCTCAGCTCATGAAGACATTGCAGATGCTTTTCCCCCCTCATTTCTTTTGTAGTAGTTTTATTTGTCATTTTGCCAAGAAACATTAGATTAAATTGAGATCCTCCAAATTGCCTTCATGTTCTTCCAGTAATGCTGGTGTATTTCTGTTCCCTCAATATTGTCCATAAGATTGAGAAGAAAGAGGAAGATGAGCCATCCACTTCAACTAATCCAGTCTTGGAACTGGAGCTCACAGAAGAGAAGCTCCCAATGACACTTTCACGACAGGAGGTGAGTCAGTATAAAACATCAACACTTTCTTTTCATTCATTTTCCTTTAAATATCATAACATTTCATTTTCTTACCACCAAGTGAATAAATATTTCATTTGCATCACTGTTTTTGTGTAGGTTATTCGACGACTTAGAGAACGAGGGGAACCGATCCGATTGTTTGGCGAGTCCGATTATGATGCCTTCCAGAGGCTCCGGAAGATTGAGATTCTGGCCCCAGAAGTAAACAAGGTAGGATTGAGTGTTAACTGGATTTTGGAAAAAACATGCAGTTGAAATTCACATTCATTCCATCTACTCTGGAAAATTGCATGCCACTTTAAATGTTCTTGATTGTATTTAGGAGAGATTTAATTTATTTTAGTGTCAGAATGCTGATTGACACTCATAATATTTACTGTTTTAACTGTGCCAAGGGCTTGAGGAATGATCTGAAAGCCGCCATGGACAAGATTGACCAGCAGTACCTGAATGAGATTGTTGGAGGAACAGAGTCAGGAGAATTGGACACACAGCATGACCTAAAAGTGCACGAAGAAAACACCACAATAGAAGAACTTGAGGTACAGTGCAATATCCAAGAAAAAAGAATGAATCTCCAGTTATTAAATAGCTTCTCTTTTTGTCAGATAAATTTTCGGACACAGTTTGTTTTCAATCATTTTATGTTTGTGGGTGGTGTTTTTGTGTTACCGTAATAATGAAAATATCCCCCTAGGCTCTTGGAAAAACTCTTGGAACAGGTGATGATGATGGAGACCAGGATGTTATTGCTAAATTTTTGAGGGTAAGAATTTCATGCTTGACCTTTTGATCTAAAGTTTTTATTAATTTACACAAAATGTTTTGGTTTTTTAGATGGTGAAAAACAGGAGCTTTTCTCTCATTTCACTATGTATCTATTACTTAACTCTAGGGGAGGTCTATATAAATAGGAAAAGTTGTAAAACTAAAGTTAAAATTCCATAAATCTACACCCTCCGCAATTTATGAAGCTTTCCAGTGGGGCTAATTGGTGTCTTTTTTTGGGGCCAATTCTGGCCCCTGGGCCTTACTTTTGACACCCCTAGTTTACAGGGAGCTCTTGGGTAAATATTAATAGTAATTAAAAAATTATATACTACTATACCTGCTGCTGTTCATATGTTTACATAGTTTAAAAAGTTTAACCTTTTGCACCATTATCAAAAGGAGAATTCATTATGAGTTATTTTTATTATATTTATTTCTTTTATTTGTTCTTTTTCAAATGGGTCAAATAATGGACATTTGTCTAGTGTTAGTTACCACTGCATTTCTTGGAAACGTATACCTGTTGTTGGACTCTAGTTTCTTCTTGGCGTTTGGGCCAAAGATCTGAACAGCCGAGAGGACCACGTGAAGCGCAGCGTTCAGGGCAAGCTGGCCAGTGCGACACACTCGCAGACCGAGTCTTACCTCAAGCCTCTCTTCAGGAAGCTCAGGAAGAAGGTAATTTTTGTGGCTGGAGCAAAACAAACTATGGTGCATGGTTCTTTCATGTGTGGATTTACTTTTCATCATTATCTTTTACAGAATTTACAAGCTGACATCAAAGAGTCAATCACAGACATCATAAAGTTCATGTTGG